GGGAGCACTATGGCTCTGCCAGAGGTTGCCGGGTTCTCTTTAGAAATCCACTGTTCACAGCCTTTCGTTGCTTCCTCTTGTTCCATAGATGCCTGCGGCCACCACCAATAAATTACTGGTTTAAGGAAAACAAGCATCCTGCTCCCTCAATTATTTCCTAAGGTCCTACCCTCCTTCCCAGCTTGACACCATCACCTTTGAGTCTTGTTCTCTGCTGTGCCCCACACCCATAAAGCCACACAGCAACCTCCATATGAGCTCAGAAAGCAATGCTTCCTTCTGGCCCTCGGATTAGTCAAGTAATGATTACTGCATTGCTTATCAGGGAGACTCTAAACTGTCTCTGTTTGTGTACCAGTCTAGCCACTTTTCTTCAGACAAGACAGCTTGTCTTATTACAGAGCTTTGATGGAAATCACTCCTATCTCATTTTAGTAGGGGCAAAAATAAGGTTTTGAAATTTAAGTTAAACTTTGAGAAAAAGTGCTTCTCGGAAACTGGTAATGTTTTTCCTAGGCTGGCGTAGGGCTGCAAGGTAGAAAGCTTATTTTCCAAAATCATTTTTCACCTGTTAAGTGCTGAAGACAGAAGCTTAGGGACCTGATGGGTGGCAAGGCACAATTTTCCCTACTTGACACTTGATAGCACTGTCTCTGCAACAAAACCTTCTGCTAGAATTACTCACCCCTGGGAAGGAGTCTGCTCTTCTCTCTCTCTTTTAATCATTTGGGAAAACATTAACTCCATCCTTTTGATTATTCCCTACAATCATCAAAAAAAGCCTGTGCTTTTTTTTTTCCTTTCAAAAACAAAAAATGAGGGACTCACTGAAATGGATCTCAATCTGTAGAACACTTGCTTTACATGCATGAAGCCCTGGATTTCATCCCCAGGGCTGCAAAAGAGGATAAGAGAATCCTTTATAGTTCCTCCTCCTCCTTTTTCTTCTTCCCCTTCCTGTGTGTGTGTGTGTGTGTGTGTGTGTGTGTGTGTGTGTGTGTGTGTGTGTGTGTGAAGTTGGTATTTAGAGACACGGACTCTCATTGACCTCACCAGCAACTTCCAGAGATTGTGCGTCTGTCTCTCTGGGGCTGGGACTACAAATGTCACTTTACCTGACTTTCTTCTTTTCTTTCTTTCTTCCTTTCTTTTTTCCTTCCTCCCTTCCTTCCTTTCTTTCTTTCCTTTTTTCTTTCTTTCCCTTCCTTCCTTCCTTTATTAGCATGGGTTCCAGGAGACTGAATTCCACAAAGCAAGCTCTTCACCAAGTAAATCATCTCAGGACCCTTCCTATTCAGAAGGCCTTTAATGTCAATGCCTCCTGCCACCTATCACTGAGAAAGGGGGCTACTTTCTCCCTGACTAACTTGGAGCCTGTTTTGGACGGAGTAGAGCTTTCTGTCACACATGCAGAGACAGCAAATCAACCAGCTGCAGAGCGAGCAACAGGAGGCGGCAGGATGCTTGTTGCCCTGTGTAACTGACTTTGTAAGCATCCTCCACAAACTGTGGCCAGAGCTAGTTATTCCCTAGGTTAAAGCAATCCTGGGGACTTGGGGACACTGCCAAAGCCCTGACAGCTCCTAAGCCTGGCTTCTGTTGCCAGAGCCACACGGGAAAGTTGTTAATTCTTTAAAAGAAGGTTCAGTAAACAATCAAGGGGCCCATTGTTTACTCAGCAGTGGGCTAGCTGGAGAACTGCTATCTGGGCATTCTCTTCAAGAAACTTGGAATGTTTAGGCAAGAGGAGTAAGACACATTTGCTTTTTTTAGAAAGTTGAATCACAAAAGATGTCACTCAAAGCAGTAGGTAAGTAAATGCCCTTGTGGAGGAAGAAGCGTTCAGAGGGTGGATTGCAACGGCCCAAGAAAGACAGTCATTGTGACAGAGTGGAGAGAGCCTGGGCTCTGGAGCCAGGCAGACTGGGCACTGATCTTTGTGTGAGTACAAGGAGAGAAGCTATCTCCTTCCCCTCACCAGACTTTAGCTTCCTTATCCTGGAAGGCAGGTGAGGATACCTGCCTGGTAGAACTGTGGAGGGTATTAGCCAAGGTGGATGCACTTAACAAGCATCCAGTTGGTATTTCTGTTTGATTTGATTTCGCTAAAATACATCAGAAAGATGGGGCTGTAACATGATAGGTAGACGGCCTGCCTCACATGCACATTGTCCTGAGTTCAATTCTAGCACCACATAAACTGGGCATGGTGTTGTATACCTGTGGTCCCAGTACTTGGGCAGTGGAGGCAGGAGGACCAGAAGGTCGAAGTTGATCTCAGCTACACAAGGAGGTCAGCCTGGGAGTCAGGAAACCCACTGCCTGAGGAGAAAACCTGGGGCTTCATGCATGCTGGGCAAGCACTCTACCCCATGTAGTGCCATGAGGACTGGCACTAGCCCCAGTCCTCAAAGGCATGTTTTGTCATAACTGAGATTGTATAGACTAGCATACAGTTTTCATTCCTACCCTGTGCAGTCTCTTTCATAAGTATTTCCCCATGGTATTAAAATTTTTCATAAACATTCATAACATCCATATTAATTTCATTCACAGATGTACCAAAATCGCCCCCACTAGTCTGCTAATGTGGACAGTTAGGGCTACTCAAGCTATTATTAACTATTCTATTATTAACACTATTGTAAGTAATATTCCCATGAATAGCTTTGTAGCATAACTGCTATTTCCTGGGGTATGTTGCTCTAAGTGGAATTACTCCTCTCAGAAGGTTCTTGATACATACAAAATACTTTTCATTGAAGCTGCTCAAATACCACACACACACACACACACACACACACTTACTTGCTGATGACAATTGAGAGACGGCTGGTCTTTTCCAATCCAGAAGCTGAATATTATCTTTGAAAGAAAAAAAATCCCCTCTTTCCCCCCCTAATTCTATAGTCACCAAATAGCATTTCATTGTCCTTTTATCTGCTTCCTCCAGCGAATATACTTCACAGGACCTAAAAGCCATGTGCAGATCATGGAAGGAAGCTTTCTTTTGTCCGCCAACCATCAACAAATATTAATTATGCAAATCATTTTACTCTGATTGTATTCTCTGTTGTTCAGGGACAGGTCTGGAAGATTTCTCTTCCTCCGTTTTAGCCTTTATGAATGCAGGGGTTTGGGGGTTCAATACAGCTAGCTGACAATCCTGCTGCAATCTAGCTACCCATCCTGCAGGCTGGCACTCTTAACAGGTCTGCTGACATTCCAGTCCAACGGCACTTCTGTCTGTCCTAACTAGTTTATATGGAATATGAGCTTTATTAATCATTTGATACAATTTAAAGTGCGTGTGAATGTTCTTGGCTCCTAACGTGGCTGTTTTTGAGGGTCACACCTCCTAATTCCAAGGAGCACATAAAGTGCAAAGCAGAAGAGGACTTGACAGACCAACTTCAGAGGAGAGTACCCAGGCCACACAGGAAGATTGTGCATAATTTACAGAGAAAGGGTTCCTAGGCTGCAAACTAGCTCCCCCTCACCTCCAGCAGAATGGCTTCTTTGGATAAAGAAGGGGATGCAAATGTGTTATATATAGTTCATCTAGTAGATTGTTTGCCTTGCGAGCACAAAGCTCTGGGTTCAAGCCATGGCACCATGAAAACTAGGCATGGTGGCACACAACTGTAATGTCAGCACTAGGCAGGCAACAGGCAGGAGCATCAGAAGTTCATGGCCATCCTTAGCTACATACCGAGCCAGAGGCCGGCCTCGTCTACATAAAACTGTCTCAAAACAAAAACGGGGATGGGAAGAACTGGGATTGGAATAGAGTTCAAGTGCTCAGTCTGGGCATGCCTTCTTTTTAGGACTATCCCAGGATGAGAGTGTATCTGGTTTGCATGGCAACCCAGGCTCCTGCAGCAGGATGTCTCTTCATCGCCCTCAAGCCTCCCCCCACCCA